ACAGCTGGCTTAACTGTTATGCAGCTGCACCGGGATCATCCAGGATCCTGTTGTTTTTGTTTATATAATTCCTTCTCTTTTATCTTAACTTTATGTTAGTGGATTAAGCAACCTGTATTTGGAAATTCGTATGGGGCGGCTGAAGATCGTTAGAAAGTGCTTCAACTTGTTTGTTGCCTAGATTAAGCTGATAACGGCTGTAATTGATTAGGAGGTCAATGAGTTATTGGCAGTTGAGTTATTACCACAAGGGGTGCTTTTGAGCTATCTGGTCTGAGACGCCTGTAATTTGTTTCGTAGCAGTCAGTTGTTCTGTTAGGTTATTTGTTCTTTTTATATGTGTATTTATCGACGTATAATGTGAATGTCTGTTTGAGTTCTCGTTGAGCGTATACTGAATGTTTTTGTTGTACTGTTTCCAATTTGTTATTTGAAATGTTCTCTTTTTTCTTCCCTCTCTGAGTTAGTCATACAGCTAGTGCTGAGTCGGGAATGTTAAGCCGTGTTCAGTGAAATTATGTCGCTAAGTTGGAACTTCACCTACTGCACTACTTTGTCCAGAAGGGAAGGTGCAGAACAAAATGGTGATTCTTTGAAGTCATAATTTTAGTGGGTTATAACACCTCTTCGTTCTTTTTTTTTCTAAAATTTTTTTTGCAAATAATTTACTAATTCAAACATTCATTTATATACCTATATTTCTGGTATATGACTGGGGGGAGCGGAATAAAAATTGGTAAATTCATGAGGGAAAGAAAACGGAGAAGAAAGCAGAGAATAAGTGAATAAATAACTTGTTGGTGCTATAAAAATACAAAAAATTGTAAAAACTTATGCCGAGAAAGAGTTAAAAAATAAAAGGATTCTTGCTTAAATTCTTTTATGCACTAATTTTTTAAACAGAATTGTATCTGTCATCTGTACATAGATGTGCGCCAATATTACTGAATGCATGTTTATATAGTTGAATTTGTATGTATATTTATGTATGCTTATCGGATTTGTACCATTGTTTATATTACTACAAATGCTTGTTTTTCTTAACGTTTAAGCGGAAAGTTAGAAAAAAGCATTAATCGTTATTATATCATTTTTGTTTATGTTTGAAAGTAACTTATTTGAAAGCACCAAGAATAGCAACATCAGGATTGGTAATAAGCCATATATGTTTTAATGGTTGTGTGATGGTAAAAGTGGTAGAGGGAACAGGAGGAAAATTATTTCGTTTCTTTTCGCACAAAGGTGGTGTTTTTTAATGTACCGTATGCTTAATCTTAGCTGACTTTCATCTTATACCGTTTCAACCGTTCCTGAATGAACATATTTGTATGTTAAGTAGAAAGGCGATATCTATACATGGGTGTATGGAGGAAGTGGATAAATATGTATATATAGCTAAGTGAATAAATATGTATAAGGATATACATATAGTTAAATATATAGAAATTTGCTTGCACATGTGAACTTGTCGTGGTAGGGGTTGGGGACAGAGGCATTGGGCAGCAAAATAGGTTCCATATTTTTATGTTACGGGTTGGGTAATGCGGGAAGCTGGGAGAAGAGGGGAAGGAAAAGCTAGGGAGGTTTTGCTTTATTTATTACTTTATCCATTATTTGTGCGCTTAAGCACAAACACGCATAGCTTTTTGCGTTTTAGATTTCATGATAACTTTTAGCATCAAAAGTACAAACTACTAGTTTTTATTCTTTTTGAACCTTCCCGTTTTCGTTTTATCGGATTTTTGTACGGTAATTTGTTAACAGGTTTGATGCTCAGAGTATTTTCTAATAATTGACGGTAAAGGGATGGTAACACTGGGAGAGGGCGAAGGCAGGCGTTGAAGGTGAGGTAGTTGACGATTAGGGTTCTGGAGCAAACAGAAAAGCACAATAGTGAGGAGTGAAGGGGAAAGCAGGTTAGCAGAGGGAAGGGAGAAGCAGGTTGGGGAGGAGGATGAGTGAGGGTAAATGGTGAAATGACGGGTGTGAAAAATGTACTGAGCAGAACAAAGGTTTTGAGGAATTTGGGGTGTTTTGTGTTGTTGAACTTTTTTGTTTCTTTTTTGAACACAAACAACATTTTTCTTAAATTTCTTTTGATCTTTGAGAGAAAGAAAAAAAAAGGAGAGAAAAAAATTGTTGTGGAGAAGTTATCTTCTTGAATTTTGCTTTTTTCTTTGAAATAATTTTTAGAAGTTTTTGAAATTGTTTCTCATTATTTATCATGTTTTTCACTTTGTTCCACTGTTATTTCGCTTCCGTTCTGCTAGATTTGTGTGCGGAATCTTTTTTTTAATTTTTATTATGTAAGGGTATTAATTGGCCATTTTTACAGTAATTTTTTAAGTCTTTGCTTTTTTGGAGCTCAACTGGGTTTGGTTCAATCTTTTTTCCCTCTCAGTGGTAACATTTCGACGACGG